AATCTCTCTCCACAGAGCTGCTTTCCAGCAGGTCAACCCCTAATCTGTACTGGCGTCTGGGGTTATTCCTCCCCACGTGCAGCACCCTGCAGTTGTTCTTGTTGAACTTCATGAGGTTCCTCTCTGCCCAGCCCTCCAACTTGTCTAGGTCTCCCTGAATGGCAGCAGAGCCCGCGAGTGTTTGTTATCACAAAACATCTAACTGCAAAGTAAAAACAAAGCTAACCAAAAGAGGCCACGTGACAAAGGATTTTGCTTCCATAGTAAAAGATATATCTAAAGATATACGAGTTTCACTGATGACTTTAACAATTCAAAAAGTGCAGAGAGATTTCTGTAATTCATCAGCAGTCAGCAAACACAGCCAGTTTAGGACAATGTAGACCTGGTTCTTATTTTTAATGAAGGGTTGGAGAAAATAAAAGCAAAAATGAAGCTAGGAAGAGTGGGAATAGTACCCCCTAAACCGAAAGGTTTAACTCCACAGTCAGGAGTTTGCATTTCTCTTGAATTCTTGTATTTTTCTTGAGATGTAGTACAATATAGGCCTGGGTGTCAGGTGAGGTGGGTCCTTTTTAGTGTGGTTGCTGTTTATCTTTTGTTTTGTCCCATGTAGTTTGCACTTTTAATGGTTTGGTAAAGATTTCCTTTAAGAAGGAGCTGGATGCTTTATCAGAAATGAAAGTTGTTTAGTATTTGTGTCATCTCACTATGGACTCCAGTATCATCACCCACCTTAGCAGCTTTTCATGTTGAGTCAGCAAATGGAATATGGAAAAAAGGTTGTAATATCCTTATCTACACCCAGATACCGTGAATAGATGAGCAGCAATTTACATTCTGCTGTGGACTTACTGTTACAAGTAAGAGACATTTCACAACAGCCGGGACTCCCCCACGCATGCTCTGCTATGCAGGCCTGATGCAATCACCTCCGTGGTTTACATCCAGCTTTGGACCAGGACACAGCACTGTTCACCCGTGTTACTGCTGTGTTTGGGCAGAGCTCACTCCTTCGGGTTATCCAGGGCTGCCTGCTGCCTTAAAGGTGGACATTTCCTTACCCCTCAGCCCTGAGGGCTCTCTGGGCTAACTGCAAGGGTTAGCTGAAGTGCTGGACTCTGCCAACTGCCCTGAAGGCTTAGACTGTTCCATTTTGTTTTGTTTCATTTGTAAAAACTGAAGTGTTTGGAATGTTCTCTGAGTCACTTCCCAGTGCTCCTCCACCACCCCAGATGTGTGCCCAACACAGAGCTCTCTGGAGCTCTCTGGGTAACCAGCCCCTTTCCCTGACACTCGGAAGCTGTTGGGCAACTGCCCAGCTGCCTTAACTGTCCAGGCCTGCTGAGGAGAGAGAGGTGGGAGGAGAAACAGCTTGGGCTGTTCCCTTCCTTGCTTCTCTTCCTTGCTTCCCCACCAGACAATGTGACCTCCTCCGGAATAAGCTGAGCAGGTTGGACCAGCTCTGCAGAGCAGTTGAGGGACAGACACCTCCTGTCCGAGACAGGGCTCCTCGGAAAGGGGCAGCATGAGCAGCCTGCATTGCAGCCCTCGCGGCTATGGACGGAGTAGGCCATGCTGGTGGGCTGCGGTTCCCAAGAGTTGACACTACAGATAGGAGACAGGGGGATAGTCTGCCTCAAAGCATCTAATTTATCCTTCTTGCCTTTTGAAATGCTCTTGTGGGAATTTCTCCTTGGAAGTGAGGAAATGTGTGTTAAGTGCAATCTGCCTGGAAGGATGTGTTTACAGCACAGGGAGAAGGAAACTTTGTCCAGTCTTCCAAAAAATGCCTGTTCTTAAGCCACTTGGGAATTCAGAAGCCCCTCTAATTGCAGGCTGGAAGATCCCACATCTTTTCCTCAGGAGGTGACTGCACTCACATGCTGCCCAGGGCATGGCTCTTGTTTACTGGCACGCAGGAGCCTGGGCCTCCTTACCTTATGACCAAATAAGTCATATTTGATAAGGCCTGATAAGACACAGGCGCTCCACCCTTGGAGTCCCTTTTGCAGCGCACATTGCAGGTACACTTTGGCACTTTGCCTTGTAAGGGAAACAAACTGAGAACATCATGTAAAATTGCAGAAGGAATTGAATGAATATTCCAAGCTAAAAATATCTTCTCTGAGTTAATCCGTTTTGAAGAAAAAAAAAATCCTTTACTTGTCAAAATAGACAGCTCTGAACTGACTTTAAGCCATGTGAAATGTCCAATGCTTAACTCTGTTATGTAAGGCTTAAATCCTCCCTCTCTGGCCCTGCGGGCTGCCACGTGAACCACCCTGCGCTAGCCGGGATCACCTGGTTCATGCAGGTGGCTGGGCTGCCAAAAGGACAAGCGCGAATCCTCCTGTTGCAGCGTGCATGGACAGTGCGGCACCTGAGCTCTGTGGAGCAAAAAAAAGTAATAAAAAAAAGGACAAGTCGTTCCAAAAGTAAATATGGAAGAAAGCGCTCTCATTTGTGTCCCATGTGAGCTATGTGAACTTAAGGAATAACATACTGAAAGCTCTGCATTTTTCTCTTCTTGAATATTAGAAAAAAAATACACTTAGTGACCTGAAACACTGTGGCTTTTTTTTTTCTCATTAGATGGATGTAGTAAAAAGGGATCAAAAGAAATTACAGTATAACAGAAAATTGCACCCAAAGAATTCAAATGAGAAATGAATAGTTACAAAGGCTTGAATAATACAGCTACTTTGCTTTGAATAAATAAAATCATGTTTTAATTCTGCTATTTGTCAAAAATGGTCAGCAACAGTAACTTGTAACTTTCCACTACATAAATGATCCCTTGTGCTATCTATCTGAGCAATTTCTCCCAGTGCCTTCAGAGAGTTGAACACTTGCATCTTCCACTGCTTCCGTATTCCTATTAGCATGAATGAGATTAGCAAACAAGCTTAATTTGCTCAAATAATCTTAATACTCATTCAATATATCCAGGATTATTTTCTCATAATAATTACATGTTTTTTCATTTATTTAATTTATAGTATTCCTACTGTTACTCAAAACTGAAAGATTTTATTTATATGACAACATGGGGTTTATTTTTCTCACATATGTTAGAGTCAATAATATTTCTAAATAGAATTGTAAACCCTGACCTCTTTAGATAGTTTAATTAATGCCTTCCTTAGCCAAACTTCCCATGTATATATTTTTTTCTGTATATGGAGTAAAGTATTGATTCAAGAAGATGCATTTTCTAATCCTGCTAGGAATTGGGAAGGCTTAGCACTTTTTCAGAGCAGCATTTATCTACAGATTTCGTGTTTGGTCCATAAATGTAAAACTCTCACATGAAAAAGGTACTGAGATGATATCCAGAGGTCCTTCCCAAACTTAATTATGCTATGAAAATTAATTAAATTCTTAGAAATCTACTTACTACTTTGTGGCATTTTTATGTATATTGTAGTATTTTTAACATAGTATACGGAAATATTATTATACTATTATTCTAAATTATGAATGTGTTTCTATAAATCCAGCCTATATATTATGTACAGTAAGTAATTACGATTACTATTAATATAACTTATTTTTGAATTTTGGATCATGCTTTAAAATATTGCTCTAAAGTGTCTGAAATAATTAGAACTGTACTTTCCTATATTTCACATGCATCTGAGATTTCTGATGTTCTCTGTTTTTATTTTAGCAGACTCACATGCTTCATCATTCATCATCTGAGAACTCTGTACAAAACAAGCCATTAGTCATGGAAACGAGATTTCTAGCTCACTATTTATTTTATCTACAAAAATAAAGTGGATAAACAGGAATAGTAAGTAAAGATATTCAAGCAAAATGTATTTTCATGTTAAAACTTTAATCTCCTTTTCTCCCTAAAACCCCTGCAGAGGCTTCCTTTGACTGCAGGGGGAGCAAGAATTTTCCTAGCAGTATTTTTGAAGCACTTGGCAGTGGGAGACAGACACATAACACACAGTCACAGTGCACTAAGGTCTTGGTCGTTAACAAGGTAAGTATTTTTTACATAGAACAGAAAGAACTACATATAGAACACACGAAATCAAACTGAGCACAGTGTGTTGCCTAAGCCTGACTTCTTGTTGCAAATATGGTAGAAATGAACATGTAGAAGAGACTAAAGGTAACAACTAAATTTCCTTATATTGTTACTATATGATAAATATAATCTCATTCAGAATGAACAGTGAGCTATGAATTTATCTCAGAATAATAGGAACCATGTAATATCATTAGAAAAGTTATTTTTTCTACCTGTACAATAACATTTTGATGAATTTTACCGCTGCTACACTGATTTTCATCATCTGAATGTCTAGCCTTATGATTTTATCTATGGCCTTAATATCTTCTGGTGCTAATTGTCTCTATAAGGGGTATATATAAGCAGATTACTCTTTTATAGTTATTGAAATGATATTAAATTACACAGAAGCATCAACTCAGCCTCTAGAAACTAATGTACCCACAGCGCGACTCACAGACACAGGCTGATCAAACCAGAGACTTTAGGCACCTCCCACCCAAATTCTCAGCCTCTAAGAGTGAAACATGAAAAGAACCAAACAAAATTAAATAGAAAGTCCCAACAATGAATAGATAAAATCATAACACTAGACCCTCAGATGACAAAAATCAGTGTAGCGGTAGTAAAATGTCATTGCTGGAGTTAGACAGAAGTTAATAGAAAATAGCTGTATTTATATACATAGGTATATAAAGGTAGGTATATAAATACATTATATATAGGTATATATTCTTTTAATGAATTACTGCTCAGGAGAAGGTATTGTCAAAAACCTTGAAACAAGGGTAGATACCATGAATGACTACAATATATTGCATTTTTCAGGAAGCCACCCTGGGAAACATTATCAATAAACTGTCTTGAAGTACATTAAAGAAAAATAGCAACCTGCTGATGGAAAACCATTTAGCCAGTGTGTAAAAGTCACATCACTTGACCATGAATAGAACTGTGTAATAACCTAGTGATGCGGCCTGTGGCTGATAGCCTAGGTGGTACAGCACCATCTCTATATTGTGCATATGAGACTGCAGCAAACACCTCTCGGCCTCTAGTTGCCCAAGCACATCCGCTTCAGAACCAAGTATGAGGAACGGATCTTTCTGGTACTCTCTGATGCTTCAAATGTGAGTATTAGCTTACTGTCACTAAAGGCGGATGGAGGGAAGTAGTACTTGATTTTGGTAGTACTTTGCACTTGAGGCTGAGCTGTAACCCATCTGGATCTTACAGCATTGGCTGTTACTGCTAACATTACTTCAGGTTGTCTTGGCTGTGTCAAGTTGGTTCCTGAGAACGGATGAGGACTGTGTTGTGAGCACTTCATCCCTGCCTTCCTCAATGGTAGCAACCATCAGGAGAAGACCAACCAGAGCTAAACTGACCGCTGTTTCAGACAAATGATTTTCCTCTTTTTGTGTCATTCATCTTCACCATTACACCAGGGAATTTAATCTTTAGGTTAGCTGTCCTGAGCTAATGTTCATAATACGTAGTCTCTGCACATGCTCAGAAAGTAAATAAATCATCAAAATGACAAATTCAGCCTTGAGGAACTGTCCACATATCCACTTTCTCTTCATGTGACTGAGCTTATTAATAACTACTAGATAGGTTTCAGCTCTCTCCCACTTCTCTTCCTCCTTTTCTCAGGATATACTACAGTTTATGCCAAAACCTCAGTTCCTCTCTGGCTGCCAAAGGGCACCTTTTTCTTAGTGAGCTAAATTGGTAGGAACTATTCTTCCCTGATTTTTTTTGTATTCTTCTTTTTCTCTTCTCTTTTCCACAGAAGCAAACCAGCACTCTGGCAGCATCATTTGTACCAAATTTATGTCTCAAATATTGCCATACTGCTGGGGGGGTCCATAACACTGAACAGTGTTAATAGGACAATACGCAAATGGCGTTTGGAGATGTGGAGATTGGTGCAGACGTGGCTGCAGTGACCACGAGATGGTGGAATTCAGGATCCTGAGAGAAGGGAACAGGGCAAAAAGCAGGATCACAATCCTGAACTTCAGGAAAATAGACTTGGGCCTCTTCAGAGACCTTTTTGGAAGAATCCCATGGGATACGGTCCTAGGAGGAAAAGGGATCCAAAAAAAGTAGTTGATGTTCAAGGATCATCTCCTGCAAGCTCAAGAACAGTCCATTGCGATGAGTAGGAATTCAGGCAAAGGTGGCAGGATACCTGCATGAATGAACATAAAACTGAAGTGTACAAGAGGCAGAAGTGTAGAAGAGGAGGAAGCAGGAGCAGGTAACCTGGGGTGAATATAGGAACTTTTGCTGATCACAAAGGGAGAGGGCTGGGAAAGTCAAACACCATCTGGAGTTTAATCTGGTGAAGAAGTCAGGCACAGCAAGAAGGATTTCTGTAAGGGCATCAGTAGCAAAAGGAAGACTATCAGAAATGTGGTCATGCTGCTGAATGGGACAGGGACCCTGGTGGCAAAGGACACAGAAAAGGCTGAGATACCCGCTGATTGCCTTCTACAATGAGGTGACTGGCTTGGTAGAGCAGTGGATATTCCCTGACTTGACTTCAGCAAGGTTTTCAACAGTCTCCCATAACATCCTCATAGACAAGCAGATGAAGTACGGGATAGATGAGTAGACAGAGAGGCGGGTAGAAAACCAGCTGAATGGCCAAGCTCAGAGGGTTGTGATCATTGTCAGGCATCAGTGCTGGGTATGATCCTGTTCAACTTATCCATCAGTGACCTGGATGAAGGGGCAGCGTTGGACCCTCAGCAGGTTTGCTGGTGATAGCAAACTGGGAGGAGTGGCTGATACGCCGGAGGGCTGGGCTGCCGTTCAGAGGGAGCAGGACAGACTGGAGAGATGGGTAGAGAGGAATCTCATGAGGTTCAACAACATAACATAGAATCACAGAACTGTGTAGATTATAAGAGACCTCCTGAGACCATCAGGTCCAACCTCCTGTTCAAAGCAGGTCCAGTTAGTTTTGGCTTAGGATGTAACTAGAGTGTAAAGAACCTCCAAGAAAACCTTTATATAACTGTGGTCTCCCATCAGCCCTAGACACAGAGATACACCATTTTTCTGATGCCCAGTATAAAGACATATAAAATTAAAAATGGCAATGTACAGATTATGTAGTCTGGTCTTTGCTGATATTCGTTAATATCTCCAGAATTTCCTGTCAGATAGCTAGCTCTTGCTGTAGCAATATGGAGGTTAAAGGTCCATGAGCAGCTGAGGCCATTTAAGAGCCTGCTGCTTATGAATACTAGATCTTGTCCTTAGTCTCCTCTACAGCACCTCCTACTTATTCTTAACCTTTCCCATACTCCTAGATGTGGAAAACTGCTCTTGCACCAGCTCTGGCACTCATTACAGTGTGTGAGTCAATTCAGTTTCTTGGCAGAACACAGTCCACTTTTATTTTGTCTGGGTTTGTTTTCTGCTATGTTAATGAGTTCAGACATCTCAAGAAGGAGTCCAATGAGCACCAGACTCATTGCACAGTAAGTAGAAACTGTGCACAGCCAAGACTGGGGATGGTGATAGTAAAAACATAGGTCCTTTAGGACCTGTGTGCTATTAGACCAACTTATTCTGTGGAATCATATGGAGTCAGAGTCTCTGTCTCTGCTGGTTATTATTAGATAATTCCGTCTTGCTCCTTCTGAGGTCAGCAGGAGTGCAGTTACTGATTCTTCAGAAGTGCCTTTTGACTTGAGAAAGAGCTGACCTTTACTCCTGCTCTGCTGAAAACTTGCTACGTGACCACAAGTAATTATCTGCTCTGAGCCTTTCTCCATATCTGTAAAAAATGTTAGAAGCATTATCCTACTACAAGAGGTTTTGGAGAGATAAAACATCAAAAGCTTGTGAAGTTCTTTGATAAATGTTGATATGTGGATCCTTGGGCTACCTAATTATCTAGAATAAATAGCTATATAATCACATAATAATCAGTACTAAATTCCCAATACCCTTTCCAAGGATGTTCCACTGCAAGTTCTTAACTTAAACTAACCAAACGGAAATAACCAAACTGAAACCAAATTGTAAGATATATTTCCTTAAATATGAAATACATTGCTACGAAATGTACACATATTTGGTGCTATATTTTAACAAACACATTCTGATTTCGAATTCTCTTCTGGATACTCACCAGGCATATGATGACTTTCATGTGAAACACTTTTCTTCTGCTTGTTTCAGTTCTTTCACATGATTTAAGAGCTCAGGTTCTTAAAAAATTAATAGAATCTGTTTAAAGCCAGTATCATAAAGATTCTTGTACTCCCCTGCTGCTGCTTGTCCTTAATCTTTTCACTACTATCCTGGCATTTTTGATATCCGGACATGAAAATCAGAGTCTAGAGTGAATATCACAGAATTTTCAATTCTGAGCCAGAGTTCAGAAAGAAAAGTGTCAAATATCAACAATTTAAAGCAAGTTTTTCTTTTTTTTCCCCTAATCTTACCACTATGCACAGCTATATCACTGAAACTTATTTTTGGAAACATCCACTGGTCCAGTGCAAAAATAAGACTGTATGAACTCAGTTGCCTTGCCTTTACTAAGCTGAACGTAAAGAGAAGGTGAAGAGTAGAATAGATCTGTGAGAACTGGTCTTCTTATCATCTGTTTATGGTACATGAACTAGACTATTCTTTTAATAAAAATGATAAAAGCACAGCAAGCAAACAAACAAACAAACAATTTCTAGAAAATGAATAGAAAACTAAATGTTAATGCTTTTTTATGCAGTGTACTTTTTTTTTTTTTAGGAGTAAATTTTGCAGTAAGTTGCCATAATTTTTGCATGTAAGATAGAAGACTAAACATCCCAGAGTTAGGAATTTTGACACATAAGAGATACTTTATTGCTATTAAAAATATATTTTTGTGAATTATTCATTTTTTGTCCCAGGAATACAGATATTTAGCTATAAAAAAAGTCTTGGTTTTCTCTTATTTTTCTCCTTTCAGCTGAAGACAAATATTTGTTGACTTCAAAACTGCTTTTCAGAGTATTTTCAGTATAAGGTTCTTTAAATGTGAATTTATTTAATTTAAACTTTGTTTCCGCCCTCCAGAAACCCAGTAACAATGCAGCAGTGATTGCTTAGAACAGTGCAAGAATGATCCTAAATATAAAATGACATTCAGGGAAAACTACTGTTTGACATCAGGTCAGAAGTAAAACACATCCTGCAAGGCATGTATTGCATCAGTGCAGCTGCAGCTTCACAATAAAATTGTTCTTGACCAAAGCTGCCAGAGTACTGCATGTGGACACTTTCTTAAATAAACCTAGGATTTGTGGAATTGTTTCTTCTAATCTACTTCTGCTAGACCTACAGAAGGGTTCTCTGTGTATAGGGGGCTGCAGATGGTTTATGTCAAGGTAAGGACACTGGCTGTCAAGGTCATGATCTATTTGTGTTTAGTCTCCAAGCTGGTAGAGGAGACTGCATTTATTCCCGTGCAAGTGTGCGCACTCTCACACATACCGCTCGTGTTCCCAATAGGTGAAAGGGGACGCGTGACAGCGTGACTCATCACCCTGCCACCCTTTAACACTTTGTAGGTACACCTGTTCTAGGCGGATTCTAAACATTTCCCGCAGGATCTTCCCACAGGACAGACATCAGTAAGGAAGGGCGGGATTCAGACTGCGGAGTGCTCTCTGCCATTGAGATGCAGAATGGAAAGACATGTGGACATCTGGCACCTACTTGTTAATTCACGTGGTATCACATGCTTGTAGTAGCCTGACACAGTCACATTTTGCCCTTTACTTGAGGTCAGTAAAAAAGAAACAGCCAGAAAGAGCAGAATTTTTAATTGACAGTATCTGTCCATTTTGCTGAGATAGGAAAAAAAAAAAAAAAAGAAAAATGCAGTATGTTGGCTTTGCCCCCCTTCCTCTCTCCCCCTCCCCCCAAAAATATACATATATATATATATAGTGGATTGTATTCAGAGATGAGAAAAACTTCCATACAAATTCATTCAGTCAAAAAGCTGCCTGTGGGACAGGAGTATCATTTGCAGCAATTCAATCTCCATTAACGTAATATTTTGGGCAACCAAAT